TAGTCTGTTGAACCATGACGGTTCAGTATTTCGTGAGTTTAGCGCATAAAAATGGAAAATTGTCAACGCTGTACAGCCTAAACGAGGTTTCACTTCAAGTTGAAACTTTGCATGGAAGTTTGCCTTACTATAAGCTTTCGTTTGAGCCTTGTCCCGTTGACCAACTCGGGTGTACTAGTCTACTTATGCACCGGACTAATAGTCCAATATCCTTGATTTTAGCACATGAAACTGGAAAATTGGCAACGCTGTACAGCCTAAACCAGGGGTCACTTCAAGTTGAAACTTTGCATGGAAGTTTGCCTTACCATAGGCTTTCATTTGAGCCCTGTCCGGTTGACCAACTCGGGTATAAAAAAAAAGGGGCGAAACTTGGCGAGGCTCTTTAACGAGGCAATGTAATTTTTTACAAGAGAGTGTTTGAGCGAATTCCTTTCAAATTTTCAAAGAATTTGCTTCGTATTATGCAGAAAATTCACTGAAATTTGCACAAAAATCCGCCAAACCGTTTTAATACAAAAAATCAAATTGACCGGTTTAATTTGGCTGATAGCTAATGTGACATGGTTCCTTTCTGCTAAACGCGGTCAAAATATTATATTCTAAAATGGGCCTGTTGCAAACATTTGCTAGAACAAAAAAAAGAGTTGTCTTTATCAGTAAATATCTCAAAAATCATGAAGAGCGCATTGGCAAAGTTTGAAATGCACTCCTAACTTCACAAGATGCGTAAGAAATTTGCGTTTTTTTTGAGCTTTCCGCTTCAAAAACGATACTACGGCACAGGTGAAGATTTCGTCAGAGGAGTCGTTCCATTCAACCCTTCCGCAATAGCAATACCCAACACAGCCGACGTTTCCGCGCGCAAAATGGCAATCGGGAGCACAAGGTCAACCAAAGCGGATCTTTATTGACGCGAATAAGAAATCGTGAATGTCAACAAATTACATATTTCGAACAGCTGACTGGATAATAGGTGGTTGCCAAAATTCTCCTGGCAAAATATTTATTTTTAAGGAAACTTCCGCTTATTTTGGTTTAATTTGTATATCAATGAGCCATGGTTTTGTTGAGAGAAACTATTCATAAGTGAATAAAAGAGAGAAATAACCAAGAATAACGCAATTTTTGGGTCTAACCCATATTTTCATCGATCCTTCAGAGACAAATACGTCCAATTTTAAGCGTTTGGTTGCGCGTGCACCACGCTGCAGCACAGTGAAAGCACGAAGTATAAAAGAAAAAATTAAAGTACTTTGGAGATCCTTTAATTTGCCTTGGAACCACCTTAATATTTACAAAACACACCTTATATTGTCCTTTATAACATATTTGTTTTCATCAATTTAGATGGAAATAATCAATGCAGAGTGTGCAAACATTTCAAAATCATGAGTTGAAAAACGCGGACTCCGCGAGTTTAAATATTACAGCCCAACACAGAGCGGAGCGGCGTGCTGCGTGCGCGGAACGCGCACTGGCACCTACAAACCTAAAGGGATACTTCAAGCATTGCGCAATGCGTGACGTATTCCCTTAGGTTTGTATTGGGTTATTAACAAATTATTAGAGTCTCGTCCGGGCACATGTGTTTTGGCGGATTGGTGTCGGCCATGTTGAATATTGTGTAATTTTCTAGTGCACATGGGTTGGATAGAACGACACCTCTAATGGAATGTTCACCTGTGCCGTAGTATCGTTTTTGAAGCGGGAAGCTTAAAAAAAAGCAAATTTCTTACGCAAATTGTGAGGTCAGGAGTGCATTTTAAACTTTACCGATGTGCTCATCGTGATTTTTGAGACATTTACCGGTAGAAACAACTTATGGTATAATCCCGGGAATATGATGTACATGTCTGCCGAGAACCTACTATAAGGATTAAAATTACCGCGAAAATGGTCTTTGAATATTTTGACAACTCTCCGAATCGTCTTTTAAAAGAATTCCGAGCATATTTTTATAACATTTGATTGTACGGAGAGGGCGGTTGATTCACTGCGAGGAAAAGAGGGTGGCAGTGGGATCCGTGAGGGAGGAGGGGGAGGGGGTGGGGGAGGTTGGGAAACGTGTGAGTGGGGGGAGGGGGGACTAGGATTCTCAAATAGAGACAGTGTTGTCATACGTCTACGAATCGTTGTTTTTTGTGATGGCACGTTAAAGGGCTACCCAATCATCACTCTGTGAATCATATTAAATCGATAATCCAGGAAAAAAAGCTATTTATGGAACGACTATAATTATGGCCCATAGATTTTGCATATATCGACTCCTTCTATCAAGAAATTCTTGCTGACGTTAAAAGTAGAGACTTGACCTTCGAGTGGATCTAATTATTATTTATTCCAAATTGAAGGACGCAATTAAGAAAACATGACTCTACGACCAGCACAACTGACCCATCAAGAGGAGAAATTCGCGATTGTTGAAAATAGAAATCCAATCAGGAGTTTATTGTTTGTCCTCCTTCTTTGCCCCTTGAGATGTTTGTCGACAAAGCGAGTTTATTTTCTTCGCTTCCAACTTCGAAATAAAACGGAAGAAAACGCTAACAAATCGAGAAGCGGGAGAATTTATAGCTCAATCACTCTTACAACAAACCAACTTTTTGCCTGTTCTCAGCAAATCGACTTGATCTCCACGGGTTTGACCATGACGTCAGAGAGAGAGGAGGTGATCGACTTTGTGCCACCGTACTTTGATCAAACTGGAATCACAATCGGTGAGTTACTCGGCCGTGTCACCAAAAATAGTAGTAGGGCACAACACACGGTACCTATAGAATTTCTCTCGGAATTTAAGGGCAGCAACATTTTAATGACCCGAGGCAACAGTCAAAAAGACGCATCTTTTCAATGTGCCTTTTTCTTGCGAGTTCGACTTATATTTGAACTCTTTTAAGAATGAATCTACCTACTTACTTGCCGTCTGTATTATACCTCCTCCTTTTCATCAAAATTAGATTTACAATGTTGCCTCAGGCTGACGAAATTTTTCTACCCTTAAATTTTGAAAGAAAGCCTATACCCTTAATTAATTTAATCCAACAAGCTTGAAAAGCAATCATTATTACATGGAAAAACTTCATTATCTTGTTCGTAATTTTTCTTCCTCAACTTTGCCTCCATGGTTTCCATAAATTCGAAATGTTCTGATCCTCTGGGCTCCATTATTTCTGTGCCAAAGAACTCGTCGGAAAGCACCGATGCAGGGTCGGATTAGCGCTCAGAAGCCCGGGGTGCTGACGGGCACAAGGGGGCCACACATTTTTCGATTGCATACTCTGCAAATTGAAGGCATTTTATCTGCAACGACCCGCCCTAAAATTAGAGAATGCCTTGATTTTTTTATAAAAAGATTGGATTCGAAGCTTTATTTTCGTACGTTTTGCATTTTTTGGTCCGTAGCTTCACAGTGTAACAGAAGTTTTCGCAGAAGAGTAAATCAAACCTTCGTTTAAAAGGGGATACTCGGAAATAACGAACTAATGGACAGTTTTACAGTACTGGTATTATTACGGAACATCATTCCTCGTTGTAAGCGCATCACTGTTAAAAGATCGTAAAAAAAAAAAAAAAAAAAAAAAAAAAAAAAAAAAAAAAAACTAATTGACGGAAATGATATTGACGCGTTCAGCGATTTTCAATTCATACATTACCTGATGAAAAAATGAGTGGATTTTCAAGTTAGATCGCATATACTAAAGTCAAGTCAACGTTCAACACGACCAACATATTTCTCATTTTCGTTATAATGGGATAATTTTATTTTCCATCACTTTATCATTCATTCATGTGCTCATTTTTTTTTAAATTTGATTTCCTGATTCATCTATTTGACGAGTTTACAAGTGGGGACGCTTCGTCAAAATTTGTTTATTATCACAAACAAATTGATAGGTCCTGAAAAGCGCACTAAAATTCGCTGGTTTTTTCCCCTCTAATTCTATTTATTAATGCATGTCACGGGCTGTCGTAAATATCAATTAAATTGGTTCTTCCCTCTGATTTCTGCACCATTGCTCAACTGAAATGGTCTCATCGTGACTTGGTTGATTTTCAATTTTCAATTTGCCTTTTTTCCGTCAGAGTATCTACAGTAAAAAAAATAAAAATAAAAATAAAAAAATGAAACCCTCAATGATATGAATCAATCGGGTCTCAAATTCTAGAGGACACAAATCTCTGCTGTAGTTTTTGTAAAAATAAGTAGTCCCAAGTTCTTGCATCATCACGCCTAGTTTAATAAACCATAGTTCATAACCATAATAGTGGTTAATAACCATAGTATCATAGTTTAATAAACCTAGAAAACTGAAAAGTGCGCCGCCACAAATAATAAGTAACATTGTGCCGTTGAAGGTCAATAGTTCGGTGGATACGAATTTAGCCCCCCTTCCTGTTTCTCCTTTTCTCATTCGACCCGCAGTTTTTGTAAGCGGATGTTTTCCCTTCTTTTAAATGTATGCAACACATTCGATACTTAGCGAAAGCAGCTTACCACACCAAAGATCGATATTTTCAAAGGATTAAAATGAAAGAAAACCCGCGTTGTCAACTTTGAAGAATCGCCACTGGTCCTAACTCCTAAGTTGTAAATGCCGGTCGGGTAGTTCATCCAAATTAATTCATTCTCAAAGGCCAATTTGACTCACTCTGACTTGGAGCTTTCCAACAACCACAAGCGCCGTATGTAAATTGGTTAATGTTGATTTAAACTTTAATTGTCTTAAGTCCCTCGTTCGCAACGCAATGAAATCTCAAGATTGAGTTAACGATACGCTACATCCACCGCGCCGCACACTGGACCGGCTCAATAGGGGAAGTCGGACAGTATCTGAACATTTTGAAAGCTCATGTTTTCACAAATTTGAGACGGAGGAGTTTGAGAGTAGTTCCATTGGTTTTTTCCATGAAATATATACTTCCAGAAACATCCTTTGAAATTGAATTTATGACGAAATAAACATCAAAATTTGAAATTTTAGCCAAAAATGCCATGTCCGACTTCTTCTATTAACTCGTTCTCCTGTGCAACAATCGCATTTTTAGCTCCTGTCCCTGAGCGCCTTCAATTATCGTCACATGCAACAAGCACATCCAGAGAGCACGAATAGTTGTATTCAGACTAATTTTCCGCTTACAAAATCATAATTTGGATACACGACCTATGATCTACGTAAAATGTTGATGAGAAAACGTTAGAAGTTGAGAAATTCTTAAGCGAGTAGGTATTTTAGAATAATTTTTTTTTAATTTATCTTCTTCATAAGTCTATGTATATTCCTCAAACTCGATATTTTTTCATAAAAATTTTACGAGGAAAGCTAAAAATGGTACCTAAAACACGAAAAAAGAAGTAGAGAACAAAGACAAAAGAGGGAGAGAAAGTTGAGATGAGAGAATGGAATAAATACAAGAAGTGGGAAATATAAAGAGTGGGGTTAGGCAGAGTGTGAGCTCAAAGACCGCGCGTGAAAGATGGAGCAAACATGATTCACCCTTGCTGCCCGCAGCGCTGCGTGGCAAGAAAAAAAACCTCCTAGGTATTAGTATGGGGAGAAACAATTTTTTTCGTTTTTGCATTTCAGTGACAAATTTTTCGATTAAAATTGTTTTTCCAAACCCAAATGATTCTTGGTTTCATTCTTTTCGAGTTTCAAGGAAATTGCCACAGTTTTTTTTTTTTTTTTTGTAAAGTAATGATGATTTGGACCGAGTTAAGCAGAAAGGAACCAACCCACATTTTGGAAAAAATTGAGTTATGAGTGGTTTTGAACTCAACCAATGCTCTACTATCTATCGCCAAAAATTCAAAGTTTTTCTTGGAGCAAATTTTCCAGAAATTGAACTTGAAGTTTATCTTTTACATTGAGTCTTATGCGGGAGCCAAACTATAAACCTCTTTTTCTCGGTTCGATCCCGATGTGGCTTGGTTCCTTTCTGTTTAACTCCGTCCATTTATCGGTACAGAAACTTAATATACTTAATTTAATTAATCTATTTGTAGCTCTGAAATATTCAATTTTTTTGTTTCTTCTCTTTCCCGTTAATTATTAAGATTTTGAATACTTTTAGTTATTCGAAAAGGAATCAGGAAAACAACAATTTTCAAGTTCATGACAGTATTGAAGCTTGAGGTGTGGTTGAGTATCGTTGCTGCTCTTATCATGACTGCAGTACTGCTCTGTCTTCTCGATAAATACTCGCCTTACAGTGCCCAAAACAACCCAAAGCTCTACCCATACGAATGCAGGTAAGTTCTAAAGTATGCCTTAAAAGATATGACCCATGGCCATGCTCTTATTAACCATCAATTGGACGCATTTCTGTCAAACGGAACTACGTGCATTATGGCGTGAGCCGTGTTATGCATGTATTCTTATGGGTCTCAGGGCTCATGTCTTAATGCACATAGTTCCGTTTGATAGATTTACGTCCAATTTATCCCAAAGCGGATTTTGTATCTCTTGTAAATAATAAAAATCCTGTTTTCTCTCCTGAGCAACTATTTTGCGCTTAGGAACGGATACATTCTTCTCTTAACCAAAAAACTAGTTGCCCAAGAGAGAAAACATTTCTCTCCTCTGCATTGAGTAGTTGTTTTCGAGAGTATTTTTTTCTCTCGCGAGTAACTAGCTGCAGGTGCTTAAGAGAAGAATGTATCCGCTCTTAAGCACTAACTGGTTGCTCAGAAGAGAAAACGTTTCTCTCCTTTGCACCGACTAGTTGCACAGGAGAGAAAACAAATATTACTCAAAGTAAGTCATGTATAGAGTCTTGAAACATTTTTCTCTGTTAAGTCCTGATTATGGCCAAGACTGGAAAGCTTCGAAAAATTAAATAAATATTTTATTTGTATTCTAATGTTACACGGGAAAAAAAGAAAATTCAATTGCTAAAAACAATGTTTCAACGCAGATTTTACAACAAAAAAATGCTATTTTAACCACATTGTAAACTAATTTAACCAGGGGGGTGGTTAAAGTAGCATTTTTTTGTTGTAAAATCTGCGTTGAAACATTGCACTCACTGTTTTTAGCAATTGAATTGCTGAATCAGCAATTCTTTTTTTTCCGTGCAGTTAACAACTTCATGTAAATCCATAGCACTGGCTACCCAGCAAAACAAATAGTTAACTTATTCACATAGTCCCTATTGGCATACCTACATACGTCCAATTCGTCGATTTTCCGTCTATGTAATTAACTCATCCGCTTCATCTCTGTTCATTTGCCAATTTCAGAAAATTTACACTGAAGGAAAGTTTTTGGTTCGCTTTGACTTCATTCACACCGCAAGGGGGAGGGGAAACGCCCAAATCTTGCAGCGCGCGGGTTCTCGTGTCAGCTTATTGGCTTTTTGTGGTTCTCATGCTGGCAACTTTTACCGCCAATCTTGCTGCTTTCCTAACCGTGGAGAGGATGCAGGTGAGTTTTATTGTGCTACGTTATAGTAACGTTTAAGCCTACGGACGTTGCCACATTCCCCTCAACAAAAAACGAATTTACTCGAAAAGTTGTGAATATTTCTCTTCAAATTATTTAGACAATTTTCTTCGCGGTTTACTCTAAAATATCTGACAATTTCAAGGAAAAATGTACATATATTTTCCCAAAAATACATCCTTTATCCTGGGAAAGGAGACTCGCGAACGTTTCATACTGCACTTTACCTTCACACACCAGTGATCAGTTAAATTTGCGACGCATGTGGATAGCAGAAGTCAAATAATGCGCATCTTTGGATCAACGCTCGATCCCAAGGTAGATTTACACAGGTATGGACAGAACTTAACAACTGGCCTCTGATTGGCTCTCCAGCGGCCCCTTAACGTCAGCCATTTTGAATGTTTCGATTATTTTGATTTATTATGTTCCGTTTATCGTTTGTCAAACTTTTGTGGGATTTTTCGCACAATTTTGATAATGCGATATTAATTTTAACGTTTAAACGCACAAACGTTTGAATGTTAATTTGATTGTAATTTAATTAAAAAACGGGCCCCTTAACCTACGTCACGTAGTCATGTGACACGTACTGAGGCTCATGGGAAATTTTCAACTTTTCCATACCTGTGTAAATCTACCTTGGCTCGATCCCATGTTTTGTGGTTAGTGTTGAGTAGGTGTATCCGCCGGAGAGCTGCTACATTTTCGAGGAAGTATGTGGGCAAAACAGTGTAAATCCAATGAGTGTTCTGACGTCAAACATTCTTTTGAGGTCTTCCTTCACTCTCGTCGAGATCAATAATCATTGACGTGTGGGACCTCCATTCCTGCTAAACAATTCTGGCTGCAATGAATACAACACTATCGTTCACTTCGTCGCTCAGATGACATAAACGCGACTCCTTCAGGATGAGTCCTGCAGTCCGCAGGAAACAATGATCGCCAGAGCTCGCATCTGTAAGGTGCCGAATTCCTGGTGCACCCTAGGCGGAAGTCGCTGAAATATTTAAAAGCCCTCCGGTAACATCGACCTCCGGAGCGAAAATGTGATGAATTTGTAATGCTAGAGGGAAGGAATAGGTTGAGCGCCCTTCTGTTTCACACATTATTCCACTCGATTCACTTCCGCACGTATGACGTCGCCCCTGTTCTTACTTAAGAGCGCACTTCAATTTCCGCGTGAGCCTTGTTTCACATAAGAAGCTATGCTTTTTGGAGCTCAAGTGGAAATCGAGATACACTCTGATGTCAGAGGAGCGATGATGAGGCGGATTCAGTCTCACAAATTTACACACGGCCGAGTTACACACGGCAAATACACTAAAGTGGTCGCATCCTGATTTGAGCCTCCGTTTTAGTGGCCTGTAACACGCGGAGGGTGCTTTACACTCAAAATAAGCCCTCCAATGTGCCCCATACTGTAAAAGGATTCCCCCGTAAAAGGATCTCATGTTTAAATGTTGTTCAAATGACAATTATAAGCTGCGCAAAAGAAGTCCATTTGCAGGAGCGTCAAAGTCTCCGAACTCCCTCTTGCTTTTGAAGGAGACTTCAACAGTTTCCTTTGAAAAATTACAAATTTTCGGGGTTTGTAAATATTTTTCTTTCAATTTTTGGGGAATTTCCCGTCATGATCTTGAGAATTTTATCGTCTGCTTTTGCCGTTCGCTTTTTTGTGATTTTGAAAGTTTTAAATATGTCTCTGCCTGAAGTTGCCGGAGGACTCACACTTACGCACTTCAACACCCAATTCCTCCTTGCTATGATAAATATTATGATTTTTGCGCGCTTTCCTTACACTGCCTTTTCCTACTTTTTCCCCTCTTTGCGCGCTTTCCTAGTGCATCCACGGAAAGTAACACTGAGCCAAGGACTAGAAACATAGGTTCGAACTGAAATCTACTGTGAGCACCGTGAGGGCAAATTCCTTTTTTCAGCGTGATCTTCAGCAAAAGTCTGGCTTAAAAAAGGGCCGGGTGGTAAGAGGCCCGAGATTGAAATGCGCGGATTTGAAGACGTGCTTGAGGGTTGATATCGATTCCGCCACTAAGACTTGGAGTGTTTCAAGTAACTTTAAGTGCCATCCTGACTGATCAAGTGCAGTAAACACCCTGAGAGTCCCGTAAATCTTCCCACCTCAAGTGGGCCAGTAATAATTCACGCTGTCCTCGGGGACGCTGTCCTTCAGTAGCGAGCTGCGTTGCCGATTTTACAATGAAAAAATGCACATCTTTTCGGTTCATTTAGGTACTTAGGATCAAAACATGCAATCTTTAAGTGAAATGATTAATAAAAACCGCCAAGAACTGTCCTGCCCTTACCCAGACCCATACCGGGCCTTGAATTTCAATCTTTTAAATGATAGGATTTTTTTACTTTTGATTACTCAAGATGATATTATCTTGACATTCTTTGATCTGCTGAGCTGTAATCCATTGTAACATCATTTTGGCAAGATGTACAGTCTTTTTTCTTATGTAAAGTTTTATCCTAAATAATTATCCTCCGTCGGACCTGTTGCCGCCCAAATGTTTAGGATATCATTGTTTTTTTCCGAATTTCGGTCCGAAGCTTATGAAATGGATACTCCTTCCCTCATAGTTTTTAGCGCTAATTTCATCAATAGTTTCAAAATATCAAAGTCTTGAGTCAAAGAGAGAACTATGAGATTTCCTGTCGTCTTTCGAGGTAAAAAAAATTTGGTTCCCCTTTCGAGCTTCCTGAGACCCTTCATCGCCAAAATTCAGAGGGAATGATGATTTCCTGAAAAAAAAATAAAAAAAGAAAGAAAGAAAAATTGGGGGGATGTATATTCACCTAGGAATACTTTAGGAGTGGACTTTGAAGAGGGAAACATATATTTTTTAACCCGTTAAATATACCTCTACATTCTGGCGGTTCACATCTACGACACCCTGTAGTACACTTCACCCCCTGCAAATATTGTACTTCTTCGACACTAAGAGAAGTGGGCCGGAAAACAGTTTTCTTCTTCTACGAATTGCTGAAAAATCCTAAAATATTGATAGTTTCGCAAAGCTGGTCGAAGTCAATTTTTAAATGTAATAAGTAACATATTATGACGCAGATTTGAGCTCTTCTCGTCTTGCGTGTGTAGCGTAATACTGGAACGCGCCGCTCCTTGGCATCACGCGTCATTGCGATGCATATCAGGATCCGTCAAAGTTTGTGAAAGCTGAACTGACTGTGCTGCCGCGACAGCGAAGAGAGCAGTAAGTGTCAAATTTTCGAAATCGAGTTTCCTTCAAAATTCATCTAATTTCTTTTAGATAAAATCACTGAAATTCCTCAAATAGCGAAATTCATAATTGCTTTCTTATTTATGTTGCTGCGTCAGCTATGATAGTATCTAATACGCACTCATACGCTAAGATTTTCTTCAGGCGGCTCTCAAATATTTTACTGGCCCTCCCTATTTTAGGAGAACTTTAAGGTTTATTACACAGATACGAACTTCATCTTAATTCTATGAAAACGAGAAATATGAGAAAGTCGTAAACGCGCAAAAAATGGCGTAATTTCAGGCAAAACGGCAGTGACATTATTGCTACAGAAAGCTAATGAAAACGGTGCATTAAAGTAAAATAATGCCCTCTTCTGCCAATGTCCAACTTAAAAATGTGTTTGATGTGTGTCAAAAACGCAACCATACGAAAAAATGCAGAAAATAGCACGCTGTCTTGCCTAACACTAGCCTAACATGAAAATGAATGGCTGTCTTGCTTAACACTAGCCTAACATGAAAATGAAGAATACCCTTTTTATGTAATTGAATTAAATCAGTCAATTTTAAATCATCAAAACGATTTCTAGGCGTATTCCGGATGATTATAGTGGAAATTTGACAAAGAACGGAGGCTTTTTTTCAATAAAATTTTCCGGTCAGACGCCTCAGAGCCCATTTTCTCAAAACTTCATTTTTGCACATACTGCTCTCACGGCAGCATGGCAAGTCATCCGAGCGGCAAAGCAAATTTTCCAGGGAACGTGAAGGAAGATTTTGTGCATGAAGAGGAATGTTGTGGGGAATAAGGATTCAGTGGATGGAGAAAGGTTCGCACGGGATAGAGAATGATATTTCGTGGTGGGAGGACAATTTTCGCAAGGTGGAGCGAGAACTAAATTGCCAGATTGTGCAATCAAATGCAGATATTATGGGTCTAAATGGGGGTAGGAGAAGGCTAACAATTCAGTACTACCTGGCAACTATTAGGGAAAAACTCAATGTGAGATGTATTTTGAAATTTTCGCTCACGAGGGAAAATCTATGCCAACCCGCAAACTCCATATCGCACGGTGAGGTGAGATCAGTCCCGCGAGAAGGAGAATTTCCAACACGATTGCCAAGTAGTATCTTACGTAATGATTTTTTTTTATTTTTTTATTTTATTATTTTTTTATTTTTTTATTTTTTTATTTTTTTTTTTATTTTTTTATTTTTTTATTTTTTTTATTTTTTTATTTTTTTTTATTTTTTTATTTTATTATTTTTTATTTTTTTATTTTTTAATTTTTACTTCCTGGGTTCTCCTGGTCTGTAGTGTCGCAGAATTGTTATTTTTATTTTTATCACTTCAATTTAGTGATTGATAAAAACAGATGAAAAGGATGAAGACACAATATCAGTCATTTCTATCATTGGTGCAGTAGGTCCCCCCTCAAGATTTCCTAGTAAAGAACAACGCAAGATGTTCGTATATTTTAGCCCTTAAATTCCCGAGTCGGGTCGAATCGACACGAGGCTAACTAAAAACACAGAGCCCGCGGTTTGCACAAGACTGGTACATGATAACTTTAGACAAAGGTCTGCAAATACATCGTAAAAAAGAACGAGACATCAAATTGAATCAAATTTTAAATGAAAATATTAGTTCATTTTAATAACATCAACATTTTTAAAACGTTGCAAATATTTTTAAAAAACCTTTTTACAGGCGATAGTATCGATATTAATCCCA